AAAAAAAAGTCTATTAAAAAATATAACAAGAGATCCAGCATGGAATTTCAATCAGGTCACCTAAACTCTATTAAATTCTCACACTTTGCCAACATTTGCTACAAGCTGCAAAGCCCCAACAATTTGGAGAGCAATGCCAGTGTGAGCTAGACATCTGCAGATTTAAGGAGATTCTGGAACCACTTCCAGGAAAATTTGAAGTCCAGGATCACACTGTGAGTTAAAGGAGGCACAATTGTAACAAATAAATGGCTTTGGGCTGGGAATGCAGCTCAGTGGTAAAGTGCTTACCTAGCATGTGGGGGGTGCTGAGTTAAATTTTCAGCACTGCAAAATAAATAAATAAATGGCTTCAGTGAGCTTTTGTCTTCTCTTTGTAAAAGAAAGTCTCACTTCAAAATGTTTATGAAAAAGAAACATTGTTGGTCATGTGAATACATATGAGACTGACTTCCCTTGCCAGGCAGTCTGTAGGCAGGGAATATGGATGAGCTAACAGAGACAGAAGCAATATATAAGTGAGGGTAGGTGGTGAATGAGGGTGAAATGCTATGTGAGCTGTTGGAAGCTCTCTCCCTTTGTATTCACTTACCTCTAATGTACTGGCCAGAAAAGCCATGATTCTGTTGAGGTAGCCTGAGCTCCATGGGAAGCTTAAAGAGTCAGATGGTACTGGTCTATCTTTGGGCAAAGGGCACTAGACTTACCCAGAGTAGGAAACTGGTTTCAGGTCATCTCCCCAAATCTCCTGTTTTAGTCAGCTTTTTCACTGCTGTGACTAAAAGACCAGACCAGTACAATTGTAGAGGAGGAAAAGTTTATTTTCAGTCCCACAGTTTCAGAGGTCTCAATCCATTCACAGCAGGTACCAAACCTTTGGGCTTGAGGTAAGGCAGAACATGGTGGGAGAAGAGTGTGGTGGAGGGAAGAAGCTCACATGATGATCAGAAAAGCAGAGAGAGTGAGAGAGAGACTAAGCTCAGATCACCAAATACACACCCTAAAGGCAGGCCCCCAATGACCCAGATCTTCCAGCCACATCCTACCCACCTTCAGTTACCACTCAGTTAATCTCTATTAGGAGATTAATTCACTGATCAGGTTAAGACTCTTATAACTCAATCATTTGTTCTCCAAAGTTTCTTGCATTGTCTCACACATGAGCATTTGGAGGACACCCCACATCCAAACCATAACATCTCTCAATTTCATGAAAGCCATAGGTATCTTGGATCCTATAAGAAGTAGTCCATGGACATCATCAAATTGTGTGCCTATACATTTTTCATGGATGATGGGTATCAGGGGAGAATTGAGTACAGTTTGAATATTTCAGTTTTTCAAAATATGCTTGAAAAATCTTGGAAATTTCCCTCACATGAAATATATGCAGTGAAATAAAATTGAGCATAACTATAATATGCTTGCATATAAAATATAATATATACCACTATGAATGCAAACTTTTTATCATTTATTTTTGTACATGTGTAAGCATACCCATATGTACTGAGGGGTGAGTTGCATAATACAGTCTCATTTTATGATAAGTTAGATTCTGCAATGAAGAATCAAAGGGCTCTTGGAAATGCTTTAGGAAAATGCAACATTTAAAATACATTCCCTAGCAACCTTAATTGTTAAATAAGAGCTATGCTACTTCCATTAGGAATAAGTCATTAGTTCTTTGGTTGAGGACCATTTAAAGTTGACTGACATTTTTGTGTTCTGCAATAGGGAAAACTACAGTTAGCACTATGGGTTTATACCAAGATATGATGTTCAGAATTGCAATTGGCAGTGAGATAGCAGGTTTTCAACTCACACATCTCACTCCCCTATGAAGGGGTCCAGGATGAGAATAATCTGTATTATTTAAATTATTATAATTTTATTGTTATGGGAAAAGTATACAAATGTAGATTTACATAAGTTTAATATATGTGATAAATCTACATTCAATGATTATTTCTATGGCTACACTCAATGATTGTTTGTGTGCCTTCTGTCATAAGTTAGATAGAATGTTATGAAAATCAATAGGAAAAAAAAAACCTTTGAAACCAGGAGGAAACTTTTACCAACATAAATCACTTCAACAGATAGTTTGTTGCTGCCAATCCCATAATTTATGCCAGATAGTGTGAGAGATCTCTGTCCTAAATAAGAGTTTTTTGATGTGAAAACAAATTAATTGAGTGAGGGGAAAAAAGGAGAAAGAAAGTCATAAAAATAGCTCAAGAAAGAAATTCTACTTTATATTAAATACAGAATATACTTTACAATATTTTGAAATCATACAGAATTTTTTAAATCATAGAATGTTTCTTAATTCAATAAATTAAACATTCTTTGATCTATTAGGTATTGAAAGAAATTAAAAATCTTGAAGAATTATATTAGTAAATGGATCCATAAGAAGAGGATTTAATAGTGGGTTAAATAGGATTCACTTTAGCATATGTGAGTGCAGTACCTACCATCAGCACAGACGTGGGTGCTCACGCATTGCTGTTTTCTATTACAAACTCATCAAATTTCACATCAGTTTTGTTACTTACTGAACAAAACTTGATGAACTAAAGAATTTCATTCTGGAAAAATTGTGTGTGTGTGTGTGTGTGTGTGTGTGTGTGTGGTGTACATATCTGTGTCCGTGCATCTGTAACATAATATCTACAATTTCCATGCAGCCTTGCTTATTAGAAAAGTACATCTTTGAAATCCAACTACAGAAACAAAATACTTTTTCTCTATAAGAAAAACAGAATCACTCCCGTCCCCGACTGGAATGTGCACTGAAATTTAATCCATTTCCTCTTCCTTCTCCTGCAGGCCTACAGAACAATTCTCCCTGCAATAGTTCCATTGCTGATGTCTGTGCGGTAGCAAGTGACATTACAGGCCCATATGAATTCTCCTAAGGGTAGATGCATGGTTATTAAATCACTACTGAGTCACATCTATGTTTATGTTGCAGAGAAGCGGAGACAAGTATTACAGGCAGTAACTGTGTATAAGTTGCTGGCTCTGGTTCAGTAATTCCACAGACGTCAAATCCATTTTGTTTCTTGTCGAGAACATCACAGAGTAAGGGAGAACTCGTCTGTGGCAGGTAGTCATGCACATGTGCCCAGATGAAATGTTAGCTGGAGCCCCTCCAGTCCTTAAGAACAAAATAAGATTACCATGAAGCCCTCAGAAAATCCTAAGTCTCACTAATTTTTTCTAAGCCTTGATAATTACCTCCTATCTATAGTTTCTAAAATTTTTATGTGTTGCTCTATCACAACATGTTTTTTTTTTAATTTATCTTAAATATTTGTGTTCACAAAGCACTCAACAAGCTTGTCATGATTTTTAGAAAATTTTAATAACGCTAAAAAACTCTGGAGAATGTGAGCTTATACCTACATTTTCTCTTAGTTATATACATTCCTCTCTCATTTCCCCTGTATTTATACCATTCAGTATTCAAAACAAAAATTTTCATCATCTGGAGAGTAGATTAATAAATGCTAATATTATTTAACAGTTTTGCAATCAAATTCTATCTTTAATGCGCTTATCAAGGATAATGTTCAAACAAATATGATGCATACTATATGAGGAATTCTAGTAAATAGAATGTTCTCAACCTTATCACCTAAAATACATATAGGTAGGTAGGTAGGTAGGTAGGTAGGCTGATAGATAGATGTAAAAATGCATAAGTACTGAGTAGAAGTATTAAAAATAAGTACATGTGTGACAACTACAAGCATTTTCTGGAAACTGGATGATTTCACAGGAGTTGAAGAGAGTCCACAAAGAAGCGTAACTCATGATTTCTGCCTCCAATGAGTTTACTGATATATTGATGATACTGATATATTTAATGATATGTTTGGTCCTCTGCTTTTCTCAATATATGTATTCCCTTTGAAAGGTGAATGCATTCAGAATTTCATTTCCAAAATTATTGCAGAATAAATAACCTGAGAACACTTTCTCTGGACAAAACCTATTTGTAAATGGAGTTAATGCATGGCTGAGCTTACATGATAATAAAGGAAAGCCTGTAGAAGCTATGGTGCTCAGATGCCTTCATTGACATTCAAGTACGTCTAAATTATGGTTCCAATTTGTCTCCTTGTTCTAGGATTGCCTGTTATGTTGCAGTAAGAACCAAATAGATTGGATGTCATGCTACAGGGTCATTAACCTGTGATCATTCTTTCATGAGATTTCTTCAAGAATTATACTGTGGTCCTTTCTCTGCCCCATTCCTGTACTCTGCATAAGGTTGCTGAATTTCCAGGAAGAAAATGAGTATGCCCTGAATGCAAGGAAGAACTCTAGGCAATCACCCTTTTATAGATCTACTTCTCCACGGAGAGGTGCTTTCTAGATTTGCTCATCAGTATATGCAGGCTTGCCCTATTACAGTGGACCTCAGATTATCCAGTCATGCATTGATTGAGCATGCTTAGAAACATGCTGTTAGTTGACATCTATTATGGTTTAAATGTGAAGTGTCCTTCAAAAGCTCCTGTATTAATGAAGGAATATTTAGAGGTAAAATGAATAGATTAAGAGAGCTATATCTAATCAGTCCATCCTAGTTTGAACGGTCTCTGTGGTGATATTAGGCTGGTGAGGCATGATGGAAGGATATGGTTCAGTGAGGTTGTACCCTGGGAGGGTTCATCTTTTCAGCAGCCACTCCCCCCTCACTCTCTCAGCTTCCTGGTGCTGCTTTGAGATGAACCACTTCCTCCTACTGAGCTTTTCCACATAGGTGATCTGCCTCATCTTGGGCCCAAAGCAATTGAATTGGCCAACCGTGAGCTGAACCTCTGAAACTGTGAGTCAAAATAAACTGTTTCTCCTTTGAGTTGTTCTTGTTAGACATTTGGTCACAGCTACCAAACAAACAAACAAACAAACAAAAAAAACCCTAACACAATATTTAAATTCACTTTTATGTATAAAATGGATAATTGTCACTCTCTACCTTATTTGTGGATATGTTCTAAACTTTTGGCACAAAAACAGAATACAAAGACAAGAATTAGTTACTATTCTTCCCAAGATGCCAAACATAATATAATAAAAAACACTTAAAATTATATGACAATGAACTCATCAATGAGATGATGATTGATTTGAAGCATCCTAGAAGCTCTTGAGATAATAGACTGTGTAAAATAACTTTTATTT